TTAGTGCGACGCCAATCCAAGCTGGCTGCTGGGACATCCCCTGAACGTGAAAGGCCCAGCGATGTTCGCCGACCTTCATTGGCGAACAGTCCAAAATGTCCAGCATTTCCTCTTCATGTCCGATCGCGCGATTCGTGGAGGTGTGCCTCCAATTTGGAAGGTAGCGAGGGCTTTGCGGTACGTCATTGTGGATCGCTTGTGCTCGGAGCGCTTGTTTCTCGTAGGCCTCCAAGAGATCTTTTTGGGAGACAAGCTGTGAAGCTTTGACTTCAGCTGATAACAGTTTGGCGCTGATGTTTTCTAAGCGCACGTGGTCGATGAGGTTCGGCGCAGAAGCAGCCTCCCCGTTAACTTCCACCCACTTCTGAACAAGTCGGAAGACTTCGAATTCATCCGCGGTGATGAACTCATCCCGCAATAACAAATCCAAGCATTCTTCGCCAAGGTGTTTCATGGCCACAGTATCCATTGCTCTGAAAGGGTTGGACCACAGGGTTGCTGCGCTCGCTCGCCAGGTCTTGTAAGAAGTTCTGTTTGCAGTGCTCATAAGCACGAGGAAGTGGGGGAACAAGAGCGATGGTATGCCTCGCGATTCTATTGACTCGACGTGTTCGGACAGCCTTTTCTGTGTATTCAGTCTCACGTAGCTGCATGCACGCAGCGTAAGAGGTTTGACCTTCAACGTACATCCTTTCTTCGACGGAGGGCGCCAATGTTTCTCAATAGCGTAGAGTTGAGTTGTGCCCGTGCACAGATACTCATAGAGAGCCTCAAATGTGGCTCCGGGGACATTGATACGAAGAACGGAGGTCTCCAAAGCTGACTCCTCCATTAAGGCTCCGACCAACACACTTCGAGCTATCAGCCATTCTCGATTTACTCGAATTCTTGTACCATCGTTTCCCACAACAGAGAAGTTCTTCAGCCTTTCCTCTGTGAAGAACTTGGCTGCCGATGACAAGATTTTGAGCTGTTCCTCGCCCTGTCCTCCTTCCATTGTACTCGTACCACAACAAGTATGGCATACGACAAATTCTATCCTGATGTGGCTATGCACACGTCTGTTCTCAGGCGCTTTTGAAGATGCATGTGGTTGATGGTGGCTTCAGGTTTTGATGCACCATCGAGCGCGGCATAAGTGCGCAAATTTCCGTTGCGTGTATCTCCGTTGACTCACCTTGAGCTCAAAGCTTTTGATCATTGTCCCACCAACGGCACCGGTGCACCGGTGCGCTATGACATACCGGCATTTCTTTCTTTGCACACCAAGCAAAGCCGCCAACAGTCCTGACGTGCTTACGTCGCAAGGACAGTTCCTCATCGCGGAAGCATATACCCGGTACGGTGCGTATTCATCGAGACGATAGTCGGATTTGCTTGGTCGGATAATCTGGACTGAGCCACACGTCTGTGGTATGGTGTTGCCGTTCCCTCGCATCGTGTTAGATAATGAGATTTATCAGTTGGGGTTGTTTCAGGTTTGGATGCAAAACTCGAGGTGCGCACGTTTTGCTCGGGGCCATCACCGAGGCAAATCAATCGGACGATGAATCCAACATCATAGCAGGCTTTCTTTTGCATGAGCCATTGACACTTCGAGCTTGCTTGTTCTTCCTCTTCTATGGCATTTCCAACCTTGGCCATTGCCTAGTATGTCATACCGGTACTGGTTGCACCTCCTAGTGGAGCGATCTCGGATCTCGGAGCTATTGCTTCGTAATCATCGATGCAAGTTCGGACGACTTGTGGTGAGGTTTTTATGGGTTCAACTATGGCACCGTTCAGCGGATGAGGTATAGCCTTTGAGGAGTAGCCTTGGGAGTACCGTTACCTGGTACCTGGTACCGGTAGCCTTAAAGACCGCTTGGTTACGTTTCGGGTCGTCTCGACTGGAGTCGAGTCACACTTCGATCGTTGAAGCAGCGCCTGTCTCCAACGCAACGATCAATGCGATGCGTCTTTCAGTACCAGGTTGGTACGTACGGATTTCACTGTGCACCATGAACCTAACAGCGCTTATTTATATTTATCTATTACAGACCAAGGCATGCCGCACCCACCCACGGCGACAACATGAATTCCTTGCCCATTCTCCATACATGTACCGTACGAGATGTTGCTCGCACTCCTGTTGACGCATACGTCTACACCTGACTTCCCTTTTTTCGGCCGTAGAAGTGAGTTGCCGCAGCCACTGCCATCGCAACCACAAAGCTGCTTGCGGTTGTGTTTAGCCACAACTTTTCCACAAGGGTAAACACCAGCATGACCACCAAACAAAGGCCGAACACTGCCCATTGCAACCCTACATTTTGTTGCTCTGCCCAACGCACCAGCTCAATGGCATGATCGACGACTGGATGGTGCCCACGAGGGCCAACCGCACGGCATCCTTCCGACTGGATCATGTGCACCACATGCGCAGAGGGCTCAGGGCCATGTGGAATACAGTCTCTTGGGTAAGAAAGGGAAGTTCCACGGCTCCCACTTTTACAAATTCCGTATTGCTATTCGTTTGCAAAGCCACATAGTTGGAGGCAACAATTCCATCCACCACGATTGAGCCATGGGGAGTGAGTGGCGCATAGAGTCCCTGTCGGTAGACCTTTGTAATGTCCGTAACAGTGGCCGTGCTGTTGAGATGCGCAGCTTCTTGCAGTGCCATTCCTACTTGCACGGAACCTGCCTTGACGGGATAGTCGCGGCCTGAGACATAGACCAAATGATCGCCCGTGACTTCGAGTGGTTCGTTGTCGTCGTTGGCCGTGGTGATTCGGAGAAACTCGGCAAGAGCCATGGGATCGTAATGAGCCATGGCATATACAGGTTGATAAACCTCAGTGGCAGCGCCAGTTGCCACCCAATCGTTGACCTGCAGATCCTTGAGAGCAACCTTTCCCTTGTCCAAGACGTCGACTGTAGCTGTCTGGGAAAAGCAATTTGGAATCGGTGGAGACGTTGGGGTTGAATCGGTAGGCGACGATGGGACTGTTGGGGTGGCAGCTGTTGGAGTGGAACCACCTGTTGGAGTGGCAGCTGTTGGAGTGCTGCCAGCTGTTGGAGTCGGAGCCTTTGTTGGGACTCTTGTTGGGAGTCTCGTTGGGGTTCTCGTGGGAGATCTCGTTGGGCTTCTCGTGGGAGTTGCGGGAGAAGACGGACCAGTTGGACCAGTTGGAAGGCTGCCAGTGGGCAATCCAGATCCATAGTTGCTTCCAAAATCATAGGAAGTATCACCATTAAAGTTGTCAATGCAACCACTGCAGGTCAGATACCGTCCTCCCTGATCCACCAAGGTGACATCCATAGGAACCGTTGCAGGTGTATTCACCAAATAACACTGCCAGAAGGAAGGACCGCCAGCTTTGTCGCAGCTGTGTAAGTTGCCTTCTTCCTCCAGGGTGACACTGCTGATGGCTCCATACCCAGCTACATTGTCAAGGTGCAATCCATACCAGTAGGGACCTGTGCCCGACTTGGATCGGACCTCCAGGTTGCCGTCAAAGTCACAATTGACCTGCTCAAACTCGATTTCAATCTCTCCACATGTGCCAGCAAGTCTATAGTATAGACAGAGTGAAGTGAAGGGCACTGTGAGTGAGACCCATGCCTGCATGCATAGATACACCCTTTCAAGCAAGGCATCCACTTACCCATCGGCAACAATGTACTCCATGGCCTCAGTGTTCAAGTCAATGTGATCATCTCCACATTCAGGGCATTGATCATTGCTGACAAACACAATGGGTAGAGAAGAGAGAGAGAGAAAGAGAATCCTGGCGTGAGTCGATACATCCAGTATTCGTGGCAAACGACAACGCTTGTGTAGTAGAATTTTCGACTCTCGACTTACGCCCATACGGTAACAGTGGGGTGGTCTGGATCGCAGAAACAGGAGGGGTTTGAGCCATAGGGGCCAATGCACCTGATTTGGTAGCAGCTACCGCAACCATATCCACTGTCGAAATTGTTGCCACCAATGGCAGCACCGAATCCATAGGGAAAGGATCCCGTGTTCATGCTGTTGAATCCACAAGCATTCCCGGCCACATTTCCACCGTAATAAGTCGCTTTGCCAGATGTTGCAGCGGAGGCAACATCCACAAGAAGCGTGAGGGCAAGGGCAAACGAAATAAACACCATGGTTTCAGATAGAGGAGCTAGCTAGATCAAGCAAGTTTTTGTAAGGATGATCCAAGCTTGCTTTTATTGTGAGAATAATGAGTGCCAAACGGAGTGGGAAGATTTCAACCAACAACAACGATGACTATGCTCGCAGCCTGAAGGCTGGATGACCGCTTCGTACCGGTACCGTGGAACTCGTAAAGCAGCGGGGAAGAAGATGGCACATCGCGACATCGCGACATGTCTTGATAATCCGATGAGCATTGACTATAGAGATTTTGTACACATTCGTGTCAAACGATATCGTATCAAAGCTCATGAACAGAATGGATGCGTCCCAGCTTCACCTTTGCTGAAACGTCACCTCATCAGGCTTCAAACAGTACAGTAGAATCGTACCAGTACCAAAGAATGATCGTAAGCTCCAAGATCTTTCTTGCCAAAGCCCTTCCGTCTGCTCTATAAATCCCAAAGAACAGCCAGTGCCTTGGGGAGTCTTACGAATTAGAAAATGAGATGAGAAAGACTCAAAGTTGCTCACTGGTTTTGAACCTTCTAAATCTAATGATGAACACGTCCAGAAAGCAAGAAGCGATCTGTCGTTCAAAATTTACCACTCTTGTTTGGGGAGCTTTGTGCTTTGTGGAGCTTTCGACATGTAGCAAGTGGAAGGTGGAAGCTTGGAGAGGTACACGTACATGCCAAAATAATGTGTATCCAGTCACTGGCCACGAGCGAGAGCCAGTCCAAGGTCCAAGGAAGCGGAAAAGGCAGCTGCAGTTTCCTCGCTCCCAGCCTGCTTTTCTCTCAAGTCGCTCTCGTCGCTCCTCTCAAGATGTATGTATCTTGAACAAAAGTACCAGTAGACTACCGTTAGCCAATTTTGGCAGTGTCGGAAGAGTGATGGAAGAGGTGGTATAAATCTATTTCTTGGCCATCATCCAAACACCATAGCCCTGAAATTTACAGGACGCAACGGTTGTGCACTGCGGTGGAATGATGGAATTCCCTCTAACAAGCTTTCGCTCTCCTGCGGTATCGTTAGTTCACTCTAGTAGCCACTAGCCAGCCAGCCAACATTCCTCGGCAAGCTGGTAGTACTGGATCTTCCCCGGCGAGAAAATCTCTTCTGATAGGTCAAAGTTTGACACAACGACATGTTTTGGACATGGCGCACCCATCCAAACGCTTTGTAGTCTCTTTTGTGCGCTCGGTGTCATCTGGTACCGTTGCCAGCACCATGGTGCCAGGAGCCCAACCAAAACCAACTCTTACTCGAGAAACTTTTGGGTACGTAACGCCTGGCACGAAATATTCGCAAAAGCCATGTTGAATTGCATGTAAATACAGCTCCACTGGCTAAAATACCTGTACGCCTGTTGGTAGTTTTGCGTACCGTACGGTACTAAAAAGTATTAATACCACGCCCATGTGCAAAACCACGGGAGCACATCATTGAAGCTTTGCGACAAGGTGTCAAGATGCAAGATGACAAGGCGACAAGGTCTACGTTGTCTGAACGCTTCGATCGCTGCTACATGAAAGAGCCAGATAGCTCAGCATTTACTGATTGACTAATAGCAGCAACTAAGCAATTGAATTGAATCGAATCTATCCCATTATCAACGTCGAACCTTTCGAACGCAGCTTTCGCAATCGGAACAAGTTATTGCCTATCATGAACAGGCCGGACAAAGGAGGCAACCAGCGTCACGCCGAAGCAGAACTGGGGGATTCTTCTGTCGCGGGCAGTGCTACTAGAGAAATCACGACAGGACAACAAAGAAATTCCATTTCCAACCGCTCACAGCGCGGAAGAGACCTCTCCCAGCGACGATCGGAAAAGAAAAAGGGACATCAACAACAATTTGTTGGCGCCTCGGCAGCCACACGAGTCGTTGGAAAAGCTCCCAGCGAACCAGTTCTCTTTTCGACACAGAAATCGTTTCAGTCGAGGCAGCAAGCATTTACCGATTCTCGCAATGTAGCTTCAGTTCCGGGAGCAGTATCATCTCTGGTAGCCCCAAGTACAAACAGAGGGTTGTCAAAAACAAGGTCAAAATCTCCCAAACCATCCAACCAACAGGATAATGGGGCAGAACCAGGAGCAGTACCGACAATCTCGGCCCCAAGTACAAATAGAGGACTGTCAAAAACAAGGTCAAAATCTCCCAAACCATCCAACCAACGCGATCATGGAGCAGAACCAGGAGCAGAACCAGGAGCAGTACCAGTACAAAAAATCTCGGCCCCAAGTACAAACAGAGGGCTGTCCAAATCCAAATCCAAATCATCAAAATGCCGACCAGCTCCAGTATCGCTTGTCGTGAATCCTCCAAAATTTGGCCTGGAAGCATCTTCATCGTCACATCAAGGGGAAACTTTGGATCTGGAGGTTGCTTCTTTGAGTACGTCCAATCATCATGTTCCTTCTCCAGCTGGCAGCAGTCTATGGGACGGGGGTATTGATACCAGCGCTCAACATAATAAAACAGACGAAGAGGAAGCAGCAGCTTCACTCCCAACTGATGAAGAGCTTGTACTAGCTTCATATCATGCCAAAGGACCGGACCTCCAGGGACTAATAGAAGCCACCCCCATCAACGATGAACGATCTATGTCCCTACTCCCTCAAGCTGAAATGGTGGTCATGGATAATGCTGCGAGGGAAAAGGAGGCTTCTGACAATGAGAAGAGGAGAAAAGAACGGCAATGTAAGATCATTGGTGCTATCATTGTGGGCATCTGCACACTTGTCATCATTCTTTCAGTTGTGTTCGGAACTAGAACAAAGACAGTGGCAATGGCAGTATCAACGTCTGCTGCACCCTCGATATCTGATATGCCCTCAGTCTCTCCATCATCTATGCCCAGTGAGGCATCATTGTCATCAAGACCAGACATCAAGGGGCTCTCAGAAAGTGCTGCCGAAGCTATCACAAAGCAAGGGTCCCCACAGCAAAGGGCATATGAATGGACCTTTGGACACCCAGAGTTTGAGGAGATGCCAAACTGGCGGAGGTTGCAACTGTTTGCATTGGGAACCTTTTACTATTCCTTTGAAAATTGGCCTGATGATTACCAGTGGATGGACTACAGCAACACAGAATGTTCCTGGACAACAGATCTGGACTCACCAGAGTTAGGAGGATCAACAAGTTCTTGGAGGCCACCCGGATACAGTGCGGGTAACTTTTGTTCGGATAAATCAAACTGCTGTTCACCTACTCGCCCAAACCCTTTTGACTCCAACTGCAATGATGAAGGCAATTTCTACTACATGAAGCTGAGACTCTCCAGATGGGGTGCGCCACCAGTTCATGGGACCCTGCCACCCGAGGTATTCCTCCTTACTGGGATCACAATATTTGATGTCAGATCGGCTGGAATTGCTGGCAGTATTCCTTCGGAGATTGGTATGCTTTCCATCTTGACAAACCTGAACCTTCAAACCAATCAAATCACAGGACAGATTCCTTCAGAGATCGGTTTTCTAACGGATCTGGACGATTTGAATATTGGTGGCAATGCCATATCTGGTTCTGTTCCAACCAGCATTGGCCAGACCAATCTTACTAGGCTTCTCTTGGAATACAACGAGCTATCAGGCTCCCTTCCATCGGAGCTGGGCTTGCTGTCTTTCCTCCAGCGCGTGGACTTGGCATTCAACCAGATCACTGGTCCTTTGCCGTCTGAATTGGGTAGCTTCACGAGGATAACAAGACTGGATGCTAGGAACAACACAATTTCAGGTCTGCCAACTGAATTGGGGCTCATGACTGATCTTTTGTATCTACTGCTTCGGGACAATGCTATTGCAGGAACCCTCCCAAGGTAATTGAATCCAACGGTTGGTTGTGTTGGGTCTACATTATTGTTACTCAAAGGTTTGCTGTTTATGATATGTTTATCCAGTGAAATAGGCAACTTGTCCAACATGATGTACCTAAGTCTTGAGCGAAACTTGATAACTGGAGCATTCCCATCTACATTCAATCATTCAGGTGCGCGTCAATTTGACTTACAAGGCAACAGATTGACTGATATTCCCACAGAAATAGGCAACCTTGGCAATGACATTTACCAGCTGGACCTGAGCAAGAATATGATCGCCACCTTGCCAAGCGAGATGTTTCTCTTGACCAGTCTTTCCAAGCTTCAACTTCATGGAAACCAGATCAAGCGCTTGCCGAAGGAAATTGAACAGATGACCAATCTAGAGCCTTGCGGTGGTGGCCTTTTGTCATTGAATGAAAACAAGCTAACTTCAATACCTACTGAGATTGCAAGCTTGGCCAACTTGTGGTCTTGGACCATGAACAGCAATGCCATTGCATCCCTTCCTGGTGTGGATTGGTCCAGCTTGTCAAACTTGAGGACAATTCAACTTTCTCACAACTCGCTAGACTCTTCAATTCCATCCCAACTTGCTCTCCTGCAACAGCTCATGGAGCTTGACCTGTCCTCCAATGCCCTGATTGGGAGCATACCTTCAGAAATTGGAAATCTTGAGAACTCATCTAGCTGTTGGAGGGTTGATCCAGTCTTTGGTGGATATGAATCCAACTGTGATGTCTTGCTTCTTCTGGACCTTCATAACAACTCACTGACTGGCTCGCTTTCAACTGAGATGGGAAGATTGACTGGCTTAGCAGTGATGGACATCTCCTTCAATAAGATATCTGGTCCTATCCCATCCGAACTTGGGCAGCTCTTGACCACACTTATGGAATACAATTCTACACTGGATGAATATGTTGAGCAGGAGGCATACATGATTCAAACGCTTGATCTGAGCAACAATCAGCTGAGTGGATGGTTGCCATCAGAGCTTGGCCTTCTGACAAGCCTGGAAACTCTGGACTTGTCATTCAACGGCCTTACAGGATCCATTCCCAGTGAGCTGGGAAATTTGAACTCCTCATCCAGTCAAATCTTGCTGCTGGGCAACAACTTCAGTGGCATTCTTCCCGAAACTTTGTGTCCCTGGTACTGCATGGGCCACCTGTGCTCTATGGCGGGTGTCTCTTGCAGCATGACCGCACTATTAGAAGTTGACTGCTCAAGTGCATCCTTGGTAGACTGCAGTGTTTGCACCTGCTTCTAGAACTTTTACTGGAAGATCCAAAGCTAGCCAGGATGAATTGACAATTGTACCAGTGGGTGGGCCAATAATGTCAGGTACTCCACACCATGGCTGTGGGACCGCCTTCAGCCACAGCCATGATTGTAGTGAGATGTAGCTAGTCTTTTATTAATCATTTCGTAGTGCTGTGTCCAGGTTCTCGTAGAGCCTTTGCCTGGAATTGGGATCCGGTGCTCGGCAAGCTTTACGGAACCGCCATGGACCGTTAACACAACACATCGGGCGCGACGACGAATGCAAAGGCCCAGTCGAGTCGGGAGCAGTGTCCAAGTTTGAGAATTTCTAGCAATGAGCTAGACCCAGAATCAGCTCGTGCTGTGCTGTCGTTGTGGCAAATTTCCCCAACGTGGCTTTCGATGCATTCGTTTTCGTCATGCCTACAAATTGAGTAAGAACGGTATGCTGCTATTGAGTAAGAACGGTATGCTGCTATAACCCGCAAGGTTGCTCTCTATCATCATTAGGCTACAGTACTGCATCTTTCCCCCCAGTTGTACCAATTTACCCATTCAGTTTGCTTACAGATATATCCTCAGGCTGTTGTTGTTAGTAGCCTATCTTTTAGTCTCGAGGATAGAATTCTGAGTCGCTCATGGTACTGTTAGTTTTGCTGGATACAGTCGTCGCACTAGCATGAGATGTATAGCTCATTGGAGCTTTCCGGCTGGAACATTGATACCGTCTCCGCCGATACACTGCCATCTGGGATCGTGGTGATGGCGTAACGTCTTCTTCGGGGTCTCTTGTCGCGTGGTATCCATTCCGACCATGTCCTGCTTGAGCTTCTCGCGGCTTTTTCGACTGGTTGTGCGTGTGTGCACCACTCTTGTATTTGTAGTTGCGCGCTTTGGTTTCTTTGGCCGATTGCAGCGCAGCAACCTTTTCCACCAGCGACAGTGAAAACGCGTTGGTATCAGCATCCGTAGTATCATCATCTTCTGTACCAGAACTATATCTTCGTCCTCTTCCCGTCGGAGGAGGATCAGAGGGTCCTCGCTGCATCATGGTTGGAGTGTCTCGAACACTATCCATAGGGTCCATTCTCCTGCGATTGGGACTCTTTGTTGCCGCCACGGCGCCATTGGTATCTTCTTCCTCGGCGGACGACGATCCTCGTCGCTGGTAGCGTTCCGATTTGACTCTTCGTGTAGGCAGGGCGGGTGGTTCATCGAGGATTCGGCGGGCGCTATTGCCGCCTGCCCTCGTCGTCGTCGTCATCATCATGGGATCATCGCGCTCTTCGTAAATGCCCACATGATCCATGGATCGACGTTGTTGTTGCTCCTGTTGACGATGGGCAAAGTCGACATCTTCCTCCTCGCCATCGACCAGCACAAGGACTTTTTTCGCTCGACGAGGCGAAGTACTCGTGGACCGATTGTTACTGGTGGAGTGCGAACGGCGCACTTCGGCGTAGTCGTCGCCACTGCTACCACCGCGACTGCTGTCTACGTTTCGTTGTCGCGGTGTATTGGATGTGGGTACCAACTCGTGCAACATTTCAGTCAATATTCGATTCTTTTCTTCCTCGGTAGCGGCCTTTTTGGCCTGACTCTTCCAATGCTTGACTTCTTTGAGCGTCAATGCCAATTCCCTTCGTACAGTCTTTTCCCGTTTGTACATTTCCCTCATGGCATATTCCATGTTTGTCATTTTTTCTTCCATCAAGCGCACTTCCGTGTCGAGTTGCCGTTGTTGCTCTTCAAAGGTCGTCGCCGATGCGGTGGTTTGTGTATGCAGTGGCACCTCTGGCATGTGTGGTTGTTGTTGCGGTTGAAGGATACCGGTATGATGCGGTCGATAGGATATTGGCGGTGACGGCGGCAAGTCCCCTGCAATGGGATCCGGTGCTGCCGATATTCTCGAGGAATGTTGACCACGTTCCATCAGAGAGGTGATCATGGCTTGGCGGGGCGAATGAAGGTGTTGCTGTGACATTGGGGTAGTGTGCTGTACCGGTATGGACCGTGTGGACGCCGGTGGTTGTTGCTGCATGGACCGTGTGGACGTGGGTTGTTGTTGCTGCATGAATCGCGAGGAAAATGGTGGTGGTGATGAGAGTATGGGTGCCGGTGGAGGCGCCGCAGTCGTCTCTGGATGATGATGATCCTGTAGCGCTTCCTCTTGTGAGTTTTCACTGGGAGCGGCCGCCGGAGCACCCATGAGTGCTCTCGTTACCATTTCTTGCAATGTTCCCAGTGTTGTGGGAGACAGTGGAGCTTTATTCTTTTGTTTCACTTGACTCCTGCTGGGACTGGGTGGATTGGATTGGTTATTGTTGTTATTGGTACCATTATGAGGTATAGAATCTTGCGAGGTGATGCTGGGTTGATGCTGCAGTTGTGATGAACTTTGTTGTAGATGCAGTGGAAGATCCGACGATGATCGGGCGATTTCCGCATGTTGTTGTTGTTGTGCAGCGGGTGTGGTCAACGCCGTTTCCACCGTACTTTTCAGACTCTCGACTTGTTGCGTCAGCAGGGACAACTGTTGATTGGGCGACTGATCTCTTCTACTACTACTGGGCGATCTAGATCTAGATCTACTTCGGCTACGACTTCGACTCCGACTGATGGCTGTTTTACTTCCCGAGGATAGATTCCCTCGATGCGGCGGCGTAGGTCGTTCGTCAAAGAAGAATCGTTCGGTTTTCAAATGCTGCTTGACACTGGCACTTCGTTCCTTGTCGTCTTTGGAAAGTGCCGTTCGAAGCAGAGCTCCTCGCAAGGGTTGCGGACTCGGCAGCTCTGTGGCGCATTCCGTCGGCAACAACCCATTCGCTTCTCGACAGTTCATTCCTTCTGGATACTCTTGCAGCAGCAATGCCAAGACAGCATCGTTGGATCCATGACGAAACGCCAAATGGATGGGCAGATTACCGCGATTGTCGGTACACCGCAGTGCACTGGGATATTGGTTCAGTAGTTTTTGAATAATAATCGCGGGAGCACTGTAGATGATGGCGGCGTGCATGGGCAGTTGTTTCCAGCCTATTTGTCGTTCTTTTCTAGTACTATGCAGTGACGAGGAGACGGGACTGTCTTGTGAATCGACAGCTACTTCGACATCTTCGTATCGCACCATCCAAGTCTTGGCTTGAATCTCGGGTCGAACGGGGTCGCGGAAAAACTTGTTCTTCCAATAACCTGTTTTCAGGAATGTATTAACGGATGCCCATTGGTGTGCCTGAATCGCCTTGTAGAGTGGAGTTATCTTCTTGCTGTAGTCACTAATCAACTCAATGTCGTCGGCAGTTTGAGCGCAACCACACAGCACCCACTCGTCGACTCCCATTGTTCGTTTCAATGCCCCGTCTTGTCTTGTCGACACCTCTAGATTTCGCCGTACGGTACCCCACCTCTACCGTATCTACCGTTCGTCTCTAGCTACCGGTAGTCAAGTTGCGCGCTCAAAGCTAATCTTCATGGAGGTCGGTACAACGTAACGTAACCCCAGACGAGGCAGAGAGCCGGCTGTTGAAAAAGTTGAAAATCCAGCGATGAAGGGTGCCGTTTCAGCGAGGGAGGACTTGGAAAAATGAGGTGAGTGGACGAATGTCGGAGGGCGACTTAATCGAGAGCATGGCGATGCTGTTGTGAGACTGCAATCATTCGTGGATAACACATGCCCGACTGGATGTCCTTATCATTCGGAAATTCCAAATAATCCCTCCACCATCCCTCAATCAACGTTTTCTTGTCTTGTGTTCAAATAATTCTCCACAGAGCCAATAATATAATCGAAGAGAAACATACTGTAGGCCACTGGAAGCTGCTGTGCTTGCTTCCAGGACCGCATCACAACCCACGGTACCAGCTACGTACTGAGGTCCATATCCAAACCTACACGTACGCCCAGCCACTCCCAGCCAAACGAGGCCCTATGTACATGCTGCAAAACTCCTATGCATAAATCTACTCCTACCTGAACGCAATTCTTCTGGGCCTGTCAGTACGTATGTACATGGACCTACATCAGACATCACTCCTGACAGCCAACCACCAGGACCTCTTCCAGAATAGAACCTTGTCCCAGCAACCTGGCAGGCTGGACACCAGTCAGGACTAACCTTTTAAAATGGCGTAACAACATTGCCCTATTGAAGCTCTTCTGTCGACCCACGAGATAAAAATCAAGACCACTCCACCCTTCAGATGTTTACGTGTTAAGCCAGTGGGTTCATTAGGAAACTAAGCTGGGAAGCCAGTTCACTATTTTGAGCAACCGGAAGGTTTTGATCCTACTGTACCGTAGCCTGAGTTTTTACATGGGAATGACCATAAAGCATAAAATCATTGTTTTTTAAAAACCCCAGAACTACATCTTTAAGTTAATCAATGTTATAAATCCAAATTACGTACAGTACTCCAGGAATCTGGGAAACTTGTTCGTGGACATTGGTGCCCCCCAGACCTGTACTAGTACCGTACGCAGGAGCAGGTCGAACCTGGCAAGCAACCTAAAAACAGATTGGCTGGCTGCAGTCTACCCTACTAGCTAGTAGAATCGTGGAGTTGAAACATTTTGCGCGACCACTAGTACTCAAGAGAAAAAACAGATGAAAATATGACTGTTCGCTTTGAAGGCGAAACAGAGTGTTCGACCCTGTTGAAGCTGGCTGACCCACTGGTATTAGCCAGTACCGGCTCTCCATCAAGAGTGACGACTTTGTTTGCTGCTGCATGATCAGTATCAAAAATCAATCGACCTCCAAGAGCCGAACTGCCGCCAGCGACTTCCGGTACTACTATGGTTAGCTAGCTAGACAGGGCGGTAAGGCTGTTGACTACTGTGAACTTCGACTGCTTTTTATAAGTGACTTGAAAGTTGAAAGGTCACGTGTCAAATGTCGCAGTTGTCGACGAGCTTTGTGTTTGTAAAAGCCCAGTTACGGTTTTCTAAAGGGTTTTCTTTACTTAGAGCGGAATGTGGAGATTTAGAAAATTGGAAAGAGAGGATTTACGGGGGGATCTGTAATTAAGAGGTGATCATATATTTTACACCCGCATTTTAAAAGAGACAAGTACGGATTTAAGCGCCTTTTTACGGAACCTGCCACGCCTCAAAAGGTTACAAGCGTAAGTTTGCGTACTAGTATTGTACATGTACTGGTTTGTTAGTTGGATACAGGTACCCTTTAAATCCGTGGATGAAGGAAAGTACCAACATATGACAATGTATTAATAGTATGGTACTTCCCGATTGATCGATAACCAGTCACCTTCCTTGCAGTTTCCTTTTCCTGATACTAGGCAGGGGCTGCAGCGGCAGCCCAAAGTTGGACATAAGGGCTCGACTCGAGTAGATTCAACTGTACATGCAACTGGAAAATGTCATTGTCGCCCCTGCAAGCTCCTTTGCACTCCCCTTCCCAACTTGTTCGGATTGCTCTGGCATTGTCCTGTCCCACCGTTATTTCGCGTTCGGCTACTTTCCAACAGTTACTCTGGACTACGATGTACTCCGGTGTACTGAGGACGATCAGCCTTGACTCCGTTAGGAATGAGGGCACTTCGAAAAAGACTCTTGCAAGCTCTCTCGCACCATAATGTTCTTCCAAGACCAACACTTAGCACCAGCGTGAAGACTTTAATTCATCCGCGACTACCTGAATGCTACTAAAGACTCCCACCCGGAGCCACTACGGTAAGTCTTGACACTGGCTGCTGGCTGTGGGCCTTCTTCACTTGAGAGCTTGATGAGAGGCAATACCGGTGTGAGCACGTAGGTTTTGTACTGAGTCTTCGGGATGATCGTACAGCACCTGAGGTCGCGTGAACTGTCCAGGTCAAAATAAAGAAAGAGAGCAATCATCTTCTCACCACTCGCCACAAGCCTCGAATGTGATCTCATTAACCACAATTTCATGCACAGGGACCCCAAAACGGTGAAAAACTCAAAAGAGCACAGTGGCAACATCGTTCTTACCCACCCTACAGATTCGATTGATTCAGTCCTACCCTAATAAGGCAATAGACCGAGTTAGTCAACACGGAGACAATGAGCGGTTTGCTTACCAATCACTTGAATGGCGGGAAATGGAGTCAGGAGGAGGAAGCCTATGCGGAGGCGCTGATCCTAGCCTTCAAAGCGGGAGAGATTCCTGTTGGGGACATTGAAGAAGGTAAGAGCCCTTCGACATGGCATGTTCTGAACATTCATCTACTCTTTTGGCTCAAAGGCGCATGCTGATTTGCTTCCACCTTGTTGATCAGGAACAAGTCTAAGGAAGTTTCTTGCTGAGAAGCTCCTTTGTTCTCCCAAGCGAGTGTCAAAGAAGTACGAAGGAACCAACTACAATGGCAAGCAAGTTTACATGAAGAAGACTGGGGTATCACCAACCTCACCAACTGCCATTGCGACGAAGGCCAGGCTGGAAGTACTGGAACGCAAGTTTCGAGATGCCTTAGCTACGATGCAAAAGACGGGTTCCATTGCAA